CTTGTAAAGTATCTAGATACTGAATATGTGTCGCCGTCTGATGTCTATGTCTGGACCGCTGCGTAAAAAGGAGGGTTTCTGCCCGTTACTTCTCCGCTGTTTTCTTGTCCCTCTTGTCTTTTTCTTTTCTTCACTGGGGACTCATCAGCCACTAACCATTAGGCCTACTCCAAATTACTGTGCTCTCCAAATATATTAAAATTAATGTTAAAATCCTCCATGTTGCTATCACACGACAGCGGAAAACTAAAGACAATCAGACCGTTTGCTTGCTTTTCAAACTGTTACATTTGAAAAACAGTTAGAGCGTCTCTTGTCTTCAGTTTGAAAAGCCAACGGTAGGAACTGCTTGCGTTTTTGAGGAGCTTTTTGATTACAGATTTGAAAACATCGTTGCTTGCTTTGAAAGTAGCACAATTCATGATGTCAAACCTTGGAAAGTATCTAGATATCCCTGCCCTAATGCCAAAGTAACTGGCAACTGAATATGTGTCGCCGTTTGATGTCTATGTCTGGACCGCTGCGTAAAAAGGAGGGTTTCTGCCCCGTTACTTCTGCGCTGTTTTTCATGTCCCAGTTCGAATAGCAAACTGCATGCAGTTTGCTATTCGGCCCAACGGTATACAGTTAAATCGACCGGACTTCTTTCTGAAGATGTGAGCGTCCTTAACAACGGTCAATAAGTCCTTGACAGCGGTCTGTCTGTTCGGTATTAACAACTTGTCACGTGTTCTGAATTGACCAATCAGAATCGAGTATTCAACTAAGCCATGTAATAATAGTAGATTAACTACTTTATTCAAAGGTTTATAGTAATTCTGGATAATAAAATGGGAAAAATACACGGGTGATTTTTTATTTTCCTCTCCCTCTCCTGACAGCCCGTCTGCTCGCTGAACCTGTAATAAGTGACCCGACAGTAAAGAATACATATATGTATAAATAGTTTAGCTAGTTCCAGAGTAGATGAACTAGCTAAGTGTATTAGTTCTAACTCTTAGTGTATTTTGGTCAGCTCACCGGTCCGTCACAGCGACGGAGGTGTGATCATGCAGAGCTGCGTGTTCTCCGTCAGCAGCAGCTGATCTGATCTCTCGCTCGCGTCCGGTCTTCACTCGCGTTTATGTCCAAATCTATCAGATCTTGCTAGTTCTAGTTAATGATATGACTGCCTGCTTATCAAAGGACCTAAACAATAAGCGTTGCTTGGCATAAATCTATCGATTACATTTATGATTCGAAAATTATAAAAGTAGGGTAGACATGTGGAGATTATCCGACTGAACAAAACGTGATCCGTCTCTTAAATGTGTGTCAACCACAGACCTTATTTCCAGCTATTTTCCAAAATTCTATGGAGAAATCTCATTGCTTTTTTGTTGAGGGAACCCATGCGCAGCTTACTTCCGGGTTTTAGGACAAAATCCCATGCTCATAAAATGCTCATATATATTTTTCTCTTCATTCCCCACGCCTCAAAATAAATAAATGTTAGGAAAAGTAAGGAAGTTCGAGCAGTGTGGGTTTTATATGAACAGAGTTACACATATTTCAAAACGTGAAGTGTAATAACTGCAGTTTGCCTCCCTGTCAGAATGACAAAGATCCTCAGTGAAGCACAAGCCCATGTTTCTCACTACATTGTAAGTACAACTTATTAAAAAGATCAGTTCAATGCAACTAATGTCGTCTTAGTGTTATTGCATGATGTTAAAATTGGTTTGCCATGAATTTAGTGATGGATTGTAAACATTTGAAATGTAGCATTTAAGTGTTTCTCAGTTACAAGGTTGTTGTTTTAATAAATCAGACACCGATGGTGCAGCACTGTACTGTACCTCTTTATAGGCTTTTCATCCCTAACAAATTGTTTATGCGCTGATCAGGGGGTACTTCGCTGCATTTCTTTTTCAAAGGGGGTACATTATTGAAAAAAGTTTGAGAACCCCTGTTCTAGGGGACATGAACGTGTTAACCAAATATCATGGTATTCAATAAAATAGTTGTTATTGATATTTTACATTTTAAAACCCACCAATGTTTACCCAGCTGTTGCTGTGAGGTAAAGTCTACCAATCGCATACCAATCAGACGTTTTGGTGATTTAATTCCCAGGTCCCTTCCTCAATATCTTGGGAAGAATACCTACATTTGCCTTTGTATGAACACATGGTTGCAAAGAGTTGGAAAGCCCTATATAAATGCAGTCCATTTACCAGTTAACACTAAATTAGCAGTAGCAGAAACATGAGGTGATCACCAAAGTCAATAAACTTAATCCTCTGGGGAACACAAATGTATACGCAACAAATCCATGGAAATCAAGGCAATGGTTGTTGAGAGAAAAATATCTTAGCTATAGTGTTTGATCCATTAATGCAACATTGCTAGCATGGCTAAAAACCTGACCAAATTCATATTCCAGCCTTAGTGTCCTTTCAACCTTTCCATTATCACCTCACAATGTTGTTACCTGTAGTGAAACCTTCAGTGAAAGACAATGACATTAAAAGGGAGATAACATCAACATCATGTAATACATGGAGAAAAACTGCGATCCTTTTGGACATAAATCCATTTATTCTCAGTCATTTTTCAAGTAACAGCACTGCTAGAGGCAAACATAACAGAGACCTGTCCTAAAAGCAGCAGGACAGAGGGTATAAAGAGCCATTTCCCAGCCGCTCACTGAGACATTGATTCAACATTCGCAGCAGTGGTCAGAAGAACTCACAGGGTCTCATGTCACCTCTCCTCTGGATCTATAAGCAGGCATTTATGAATGATAATGACAATAATAATGGGACCTCTGTCTCCTGCTGAATATTAACTATACATCCACTGATCAAACATGCTCTGCACACAGGGAAGATCTATAATCATCCAGTCTGAGCTGTGCAATATACTGCTTGATCTGCTGTGTGCTGCATTCTGGGAAATGTCTGCTGCTTTTACCCACTTTTCTCCTGCCACCTGCCTCGATCTGCTTGTATGTACTGTGGGGATTTATAATAATGAATAATAATTCATTTATTTTATATAGGCGCCTTTCAAGGCTCTCAAGGTCGCCGTACAAACACATAAAAAACAAGATACACAATACTTAACACCAGCATAAGAGACATAAACAAGACAATGCAGTATATAACAAATCAAATAAATAAAACAGAGGATGTGTGATGGATAATGATCAGGGTGGATATGCGAGTGTGAAGAGATATGTTCTGAGGCATGATTTGAAAATGGGGAGAGTCAGTGTTGTGGATGTTAGGTGGGAGGGAGTTCCAGAGGCGGGGTGCAGAGCGGCTGAAGGCTCTAGACCCCATGGTGGTTAAACGGAAGGGGGGTGCAGTGAGGCTGAGGGAAGCAGAAGATCTGAGTGTGCGGATGGGTGTGTTGATGTGCAGGAGGTCGGAGAGGTACAGAGGAGTGAGGTTATGGATGGCCTTAAAGGTGAGGAGCAGAATCTTAAAAACGATACGGGATTTGACGGGGAGCCAGTGAAGTTGCTGAAGAACAGGAGTGATGTGGTTAATGGAGGGGGTTCTGGTGATGATGCGGGCGGCAGAGTTCTGAACCAGTTGAAGTCTGTGGATGGATTTGAGAGGGAGACCAAAGAGAAGGGAGTTGCAGTAGTCGATGCGGGAAGTGACCAGGGTGTGAACAAGAATGGCGGTGGTTTTAGGGTTAAGGGACGGGCGGAGGCGGTTGATGTTGCGTAGATGGAAATAGGCAGACCGAGTGATATTACTGATGTGAGATTTGAATGAAGGTGTGCCGTCGAGGATGACACCCAGACTCTTAACCTGAGGGGAGGGGGAGACTGAAGAGTTGTCTATAGTAATGGAGAAACTGTCAGGTTTGGTTAGGGTGGATTTTGTGCCAATGAGGAGAACCTCGGTTTTACTGTCGTTAAGTTTGAGAAAGTTAGAGGAGAACCAGGATTTGATGTCCTGTAAGCAGTCAGACAGGGAGGATGGAGGGAGGATGGTGGTTGGTTTGGAGGACAAGTAGAAATGGGTGTCATCCGCGTAGCAATGAAAGTGGATGTTGTGTTTACGGAAGATATTGCCAAGAGGAAGTAAATAGATGATAAAAAGAAGAGGCCCCAGGACAGAGCCCTGGGGAACACCGGTCGTGACTGGAAGTGGCTGTGATTTGAAGGTTTTGAGTTGGATGAACTGAGTGCGGCCAGAGAGATATGATTTAAACCAGAGGAGGGGTGTGTGGGTTATGTGCTCCCTCATGGTTCCTTATTCCCAGTGCAAGTCCAGAAAAACACCTGAAGGCGTTGTTTGTGACCATCAACTGTATTTAGAGAGTATTTAAAAAAAGAGAGTAATAGTATAGTGGTTTTCCTGGCTTTGTAATATATGTTATCATTATTGGTTGACACAACTAAGATTGTACATGAGAACAATGCTAAAATAAACAATAAAATACAAATACATTGATTGACATGACATCTTTGAAGTAAATACACTTTTAAAAAATCAAATATATTTAAAATAAATAAATCCACAATAATAATAATAATAAGCAAATAACATACATATAAAACATAACCCCCCCCAAAAATAATTAAATGTTACAATGGTTCGAAAGTATCCTCATTTTCCATAAAATGCATATAAAGCCGGCAGATATAATTAAAGGCCTCCTGTTTTACTTTAGGAAAGTAATTATTATCTTTATTAATCATTAGGCACATTTCATTTTTAAATATTGAGTCCAAATGTTCAGTCAGGTCACACAGTTCAAGATGCTTTGCCTTTTCCAAATCCCTCACACAGCATGCCTCTGCTACAGAGCATCTAAGAAAATATAAGCTGTTAAACCATACACTGAAGTCTTTCGGAAATAACAACTTTAACTCATCTCAAAGCCCGATGTGAGAGTTTGATGCTCTGACCTCATTTATTCCCACTCACAAGAAAAGCCTTTTCACAGAGTGCAACAAGAAGCATACTAAAAGCCTTTTTCCTGTTCCATCCCAACAGATGGAGCTCAACCAGAGCTCTTCATCTTCAATGAGCTGTGCGCCCTGAAGGACGAGCCGGGGCCCTGCAAGGCCATTAAAGAACGATTCTTCTTCAATGTGGACACAGGAGGCTGTGAGCTGTTTGAATACGGAGGCTGTGGGGGCAACGAGAACAATTTTGAGACCCTGGAAGCATGTGAGGAAACATGCTTGGTCTCAGGTGAGTCTGACCCTTACATTATAACATTATTGTGAACCATCTTCCCTTTAAGTCAACATATGGACCCTGAAAACTTCATTTGAATGGATACAAAAGGTTTATTTGTATATTGCAGTGTTGCATTGTTATATTGTTGCTTGCAAATGATCAGTTATGTTTTCAAGGACTGTACTCATTAGATGTAATCACCACCTTGGGCTTACAACCCTATTACAGACTCATTGGAATGCTGCTAAAATGGAACATTGCCAGCACATTCATTTTGAACAGTTTATCTTAAGGCATGTAGTTAATGAAAAGTATAAGATAAGATAAGATGAACCTTTATTAATCCTCGAGGGGAAATTCAGTTGTACAAAGCAGCAACAGGGTAAGTGTGAAACAAACAGTACAGCAAAGATTCACACAGATCAATAAAATCTATAATAAATAATAAATAAAAACATTTAAGAGAGGCAGCCAGTCGTGTATTATTTATAGGTTGTGCATACTAAAGTTATAATAAATTGAAGTTTAGTTAAATTAGTATATCTAATGAGATGGTCTTTAAACCCTCTAATTTCCCAATTCTCATTGGAAAATTGATTGTAATGACTGTCAAACTGACCATGAAAATATAAAACGCAAAATGACACCTCAACCCTTGTTATATGGTAACCATAAGAAATGTGAAAGAGGCAAGGGTCAATTGGTCTTCCTAACAACATTATGACCTCATAATAAAAGATGGAAAACGTCATCTTCTGATGCCATTAACAACTTCTCGCCTGGTTGAATGTGAAAGTAAAATGTTCACTCACAATAGATCAATTATTTGCTAAGGCTTGCCATGCCTCAAGGGCTTTACAAGTGCACTTAGCCTGGGGCTAAGGCTCGAGGAGTAGAACACTTTTAAGAATGTCACAATCCTGAAAATGGGCTAACCCAAACTTGTGCCCTGGGCTATCTGGCCGTGCTTGAGTTAAGGGTTATCCCCTAAAGTGTTTGGGCCTTTTGGTGTCACATAACTTAATCTGTAGTTATGTAGTTCCACCATTTGGCCACTACCAAATGTTGCTTGAATGACCAGCTCACTTATTTGGAGCTTCATTTGGGCTAGAAGTAGTGCAGTATGAATCATATAGCCCTGGGCTTTGGTTAGCCTTTACTTGACAACATGTTTGTAAACAATGGCTTCAATTATCCCGGGGTTAATTCCTGAGAATATGCACATCTAAAAGCCTATAACTTTCTGTTACTATGCAAGCGTTGAATTCTAGTGAGGCACAAATGATATTGTTGGCAGATTTGTCAGCTGACATATGGTCTTTTTTCCAACAATGCCTCTGTAACTTCAGTGTGAAGTAGGCCAAACCAGGTTTGCCATTTTTATTCTGCAACTGCTGATTTGAAGGGCTGAAATGAAAAATGTGGCTGGCAGCTTGAATCAGCAGGTGCTACTTTGCTAATTAAACTGTCTTTAATCGGCAAAAGGCCATTACGCTTGTATTTGTTAGCTACCCTCGTGTACATTGTATACTTGACAATTTGTAAAAAGAGTAAGACTGAAGTGTCCATTAAATAAACATTCATGCCAACAAACAAGTAGTATTGTTCAAGTGAATGGGTTCAGCTGGGCTATTGGAAGGTTGGGTGCTAAGGCCAAGCTCAGTTGAACTAAACATACACATGTTGTAAGAGCTGTAAGGTTATGAGGCTATGTTGCCTGTTAACCCACAACATATTTTAGTAAGTTCTTGATTCTCCAACGTTTAGTTCTGTTCTATTGTCTATTGTGAGATGTTTATATTTTATAATTGTTTATTTTCTGATCTTTTTAAATTCTAATTATATGCAATTGCTGGTTGTTTATGCTGCTGTAACAAAACAACATCCCAATTTATGATCATGAAAGTATATCTTGTCTTATGTTATCTCATACAGTATGCAATCCCTTTGAATGACTTTGTTACAGAAGTTAAACAAGCCAATTGGGCAATACTTTTAAACTAGTCTCATTTGGATTCCATGTACAACCAAGACTCCAAAGATTGAAACCTGGTAAAGTAAGGAAACAGGAAGCAGGAATCCACATTCTCCACATCAACAGATGGTCACCCAACACTGACATATGGTAATCGCTAATAACTCCCAATAAAATATTTTATTGTGCACTTCGATTAGATTTAATTTCATTTCAAACCTTTATTTATACAGATGAATCCATTGAGATCATTGATCTCTTTTTCAAGGGAGACCTGCTCAAGTAGTTCCACATGAAACATAAAAACATAAATAGAACAACAAAAGGACATCATACAGCATCATTTACATAATTATCCACATAAACAGGTACCAATAGCTTCCGATTGACTAGCATCCAATCGAGCTTTAAAAACATTTAGTGGCACCAGATTGTTCAGTTTCCATTTAATTTGCAGACTATTCCAAGACAGAGGAGCTGCGCATCTAAAAGCTATCTTCCCTAAGACAGTCCTAGCAGTTGGCACATTTAATAAAACCACAGCATTCGATCTCAGGCAGTAGCCACTTACAATTTTCCGTGAGATCAGGGAGCAGATATAAGATGGAAGTTTCCCTAACATGGCTTTGTATATAAAAATATACCAGTGACTGAGCCTCCGTACAGTTAGTGAAAGCAAACCAGCCCTTGCATACAGGGTACAGTGATGGGTTAATGCTTTACAGTTTGTCACAAATCTCAGTGCACTGTGATAGGCAGCATCTAACTTGACCAGGCAATTGGCAGGTGCATTCATATACATCAAATCACCATAGTCCAGCACAGGTAAAAAGGTAACAGTGACTAGCCTTTTCCTGGCCTCAAGCGAGAAACAGGACTTGTTCCTGTAGAAGAAACCTAGCCTAACCCTCAGCTTTTTAAGCAGGTTATTGACATGAAGTTTAAAAGTGAGACAATCATCAAGCCAGATACCAAGGTATTTGTAACAGGTAACCACTTGTTTTATTCCTTGCGTAGTTACAATATCTAAAACAGGCTCTGGTGTCTTTTTAGCTTTAGAAAAGAGCATTACCTTGGTTTTCCCAACATTTAAAAGAAGCTTTAGTTCAGAGAGCTGAGTCTGAATAATGTTAAAAACAGCCTGTAATTTAACACCAGCCTCCTTAATCGAGGGACCTGCACAGTACATCACGGTATCATCCGCATAAAAATGTAAAGTAGCTTCATCCACATTTTCACCTAAACTGTTGATGTAGATGGAGAATAAAAGTGGACCTAAAACAGAACCTTGAGGAACACCATTTGCAATGTTCAACCACTCAGAAGACAGCCCATCAAAGTGAACACATTGGGACCTTTCAGAGAGGTAGTTCACAAACCACACCACTGCATGGCTGGACATGCCTATACTGGCTAGCCTCTGCTTTAAAATGTGATGATCGACGGTGTCAAACGCTTTTGAAAGGTCAATAAATAGAGCTGCACAACTCTGCTTATTATCTAAAATACTCGCCACATCATTCACCACTTTCATTGTGGCAGTGATGGTGCTGTGTTGCTTTCTGAAGCCTGACTGATGTTCAGACAGGATGTCATTTGTACATAAAAACTCCTTTACCTGTTCACTCACTAAGCGTTCAAGAACCTTAGCCAGAACTGACAACTTAGAGATTGGCCTATAGTTATTTAATAAAGTGGCCTCCCCTCCTTTTAGCAAAGGCAGGACATATGCTGACTTCCACAATTTTGGAATTGTGTTAGTGTTGAGGGAGAGGTTAAAAAGAGTAGTGAGAGGAAGAGCAATAAAATCTGCAGCTATCTTTAAAAAGAAAGGTTCTACGTTGTCCAGGCCGGCCGGTTTCTTAGGATCTAACTTGGTTAAAGCTTCACGAACAACATCAACAGTAAAAGGAGTAAAACTAAAAGGGTTTTCCAACACACGTTTTTAAGAGACACATACTGTAGTGTTCACAGAAGCAGAGTTAGTGACAGAATCAAATAGAGAACCACAGGACACAAAATGCTCATTAAAGCAATTTAGCATAGTAGCCCTGTCCGATATAGAGCCAGAAGCTGTGGTAATGCACGGAGGTAGCTCATTACGGATATCGCCAGTGGATAACGATTTAATGGCTTTCCTAAATGTTCCAGGATTATTCAGATTATTTGTGGTTACTGAAAGATAGTACTTTGATTTAGCACTTTTGATTTGCGATGTGAAGCTATTCATTAGCTGCCTAAAATGCAGCCATTCTACCTCTGAGCCTGATTGCCTTTTCCCAGGCCTTGTTTCTCTCATGAAGGAGACTGGACAGATTAGCAGTCCCTTTACTCTAAATGTACGCAGGGGTGCATGTCTATCAATGATCTCCATAAAACCAAGATAAAAATAAGACCATGCAGTTTCTACATCAGCACACAGATCGATTTTACCCCAATCAAAATCAAACAGATCATGAACAAAACCCTGCTCCACAAAATGTTTTATGTCTCTCTTAATAATAATACGAGGTTTAACCTTTTGGACCTTAGTGTTCCTAATTGTGGCTACAGCACAGTGGTCACTCACATCATTCGCAAATACTCCCACAGATGAATATTTATGGGGAACATTAGTTAGAATGATATCAATTAGGGAGGATTTATTTGGGGACTTAATATTAGGGCGAGTAGGACTGTCAACAATCTGAGTAACATTTAAAGAGATACAAAGGTTTTTAAAATCCTCTGACACTGCAGTTAACCAGTCCCAGTTAAAATCTCCAAGTAGCACTATTTCCTTGTAGTCTACTTGTGATAAAAGATTTACTAGTGAAGACAAGGAGTCTTTGATAGCTGAGGGGGGTCTGTGACAACTCACTTCCATGACCTGTTGACCCTTTGCCACTTCTATATTTATGGCTAAAAATTCAAATTGCTTACTGATCGATTTGGAAACTAATGTGGTTACACTGAACTTATTCTTAAAGGTCCCATGTCATGGCCATTTCCACTGCTCATAATTCCATTGTTGAGTTCTACTAGAATAGATTTATAC